AAGTTTGAAAAAATGATAATACAACGTAATGGAAACGTTGATAAATTAGAAACGTTAAACAAATTAATGTCAGATTCAATTTCGACTTACAACACAACATATGAAAGAATATACAATAATTTCAAAAAATCTTTAAACATCAACCTATCTATTACAACATTTCTAAACTAATTAATTATTCGAGCGAAATATCTATATAAGTTTCATATAATAACCACTCTCGTACAACTATAATTTGATATTAAGAAAATGAAGTTGAGCCTAATAAAAGAACGCTTCGTTTGCAAATACTTTTCGTAGCTACGCAAAACTGTGGTTATCCACAGTTTCGATTAAAATCAAATGAAAGTATCACAAAGCTCACGCAAAGCGAAAGATGAGCACGATATATTGAATTCAACGTGAATCGAAAATCTTTTAAAACATTGACAGGCGTGTTTTCAGGGGAAAATATTCACCGTGGAAGGAGTACGTCATTAACGTTTGCCATTTCGGTCACGATTTTTTCTTTGTGGATACTTTACGAGGACATCAATACCACGCAAAGAACCGCTCCATTGTGTGGAAGTGTCTATGTTACAAAGGTTACACAGGTCAGCGTACACGTTCGAGAAACTCGAGTTCTCCTTTGTGAATGAACGAGGCGTCGAGAAAAAGCAGGAGAGCAGGGAAATTTTCCGAACGCCAGAGAAATGTCCTTACAATCTGCAAGCAGGTGTCGAGAATGGGACCTGCGCTCGCCTTTTCAAACGAATCTCCAACACAAGTTTATGTATCGAGTGTACGTACGCTTGCGTCTGTGTTAGAATCGTTCACATCCTGTCCTCGGGACAGATTTAATACACCAGCATTTCTGACGTGTGTTTCACAGCATGCAGCACACGGCGACTTTTCGTCGAACGACAAAGAAATTCGGAGCAACGAAAGTTGCCAGTTACTTCCAGCGGAACAATTGCCCGGAACGGACGCGCAGTTGCTCTTTTCTTCTCTTCCATCGAGGAATTAATGACGGGGTACACGATAAAAATGCAAGGTTAACATCATTCGTGTATATGAGATAGATAAGGAACAGGCTCGTTTCAGTCGCACGCACACAAACGCGATGTCAGCTGCAACTAGAGGCTAACTTTAATTACGTCCATAACGGTACGATTTAGCTATCATTCTTTTTATTTTCTTTCCTATTGGGTCATGTATTTTATTCTCTATTCTGTACACTAATTCCAATCTTGCGAGATTAATGGAAAACTTTAGATTCGAGAATGTTTAATTTACTTTCGCTTTGTCATTTGTTCAGTCACAGAGAACGTAGAATGAAAAGTAGAATTAAATACCTACTTTAAATTTTTGTCTATACTACTTGAGAATTAAATTATATTTACGATTAGCGAGATAAGCTGGTCGAGAAGAAATATTCACAGTTGAATTTCAAAAATGAAAAGCATTAACAAGAAAATGGAAAGACGAATCGAAGCATTGGATACGCGGCCGCTACGCATAACGCGATAAGCACTAAGAGCACGACCTTCAAACGGAGAAACGATACGGTTGATAATTTAATAATTTCACAGACTCTCGGTTATGACATTTTACGGCTTTCGCCTCGGTCGATTCGTACGCGAAGATCCTTGAATGCGCGAGAGAGGAAGAAGGCAGAACGCGAGGAGCAAGTAACGAGGTTACCAGAACATCCCACAATTAATTTGCTTGCAAACGGTTACGCTCTGCGAATAATTATTCGAAGTCTTAGCTTCTGCTTGTTGCAAAGTACAACCGCTCAAAGGGTTTGAAACGACATATCGACGATATCGTATAAAATGGTAAAAAATACCCGCGATCGTGTTTAAATCGTTGTGAGAATACACACAGACTGCATCGTCGTTCGAAATGTTCTTCTCGTCTTTCTTCTGGCAAAGTTTCAAATTTTATTGACATTTTTAGTTGTCGAACTTGGCTTTGTTAATTGAAGATCAACTAAACTTCTAACAGATGCTAATTTTCCAAAATTCTGTGTGCTTTTCTCGGAACTAACTGATTAATATTTCATCACGTTTGTTAAAACGTATTTCGGCTGGTCAACGAACGAGCATTTTTTCTCTCGGGCGAAAGTCGAATACCAGTGCTTCGCATTCGACAGCACACGAAAGTTAATCGATGTCGATTAAAGAGCACGCGGGCTTCATTAAAATACAATTAAAAAGAAAGTATCGTCGGCAGTTTTAATAGTTTAACTGTGTCTAACACTCGTGTCCCGCGCGTCGCGTCGTTAAAACTTGCTCGATCGCACGAAATGTCGACAAGGAGAAAAAAAAGAAAGAAATAATAGACAGGAAATATGAAATAAAAAGCGAAGAGAGAAAGAGAAAAGGGAGAGAGGAACACCGTCCGCGACGCGTTCCCCGTGCATTTCTCTGTACGTAAAGTAGTTACATATTAAAAGTTCCTTTTATATTTAATTACATATTCTGGAATTCCGGTTCGCATATCGCGGGACCCTTCAATTTCATCTCATTTCTATGCAGGCTTTTCAAACATCCACGCGAGCCTGTCCCTATTCATTGGAACACACTCGCGCGCCTTATCTTTTTGCACGCTTTACGCTTTAATGAAAATTTCCTGTTACACTGAATTTTACGAGAGATGTTCGATTATTTTGTTTCACCAGCACTTTTCGCTAATTGTTCCAACTATAGTACGTATAAAACGTGTTTCTGTGTACACACTATAAATGGGCGAATAACGTACGAACGATTTGTTACGTAATAAGCTAATGCAATTAATCAAATTTAACAAGTCGTAATAGCGACAGTAACAAGTTATGGGCTATAAGCTTTTCTTTTACAATTTTACGTCGCATTAACCGAGTAATTTGTACGTAATTCGTAACATTTACTTGCGGAACTTACTTTTTTAAATAGATTGCAGATTATTATTTAATACATTGTAAATACTTGAAACCTATAATTTGTAAAACTTATCGATGCGTGCTATTAGACGACGAAGTATTATACAAAAGAGATAAAGTAAAATAATTATAACTCTAAAAGAAAAAAATAACTTTATCCATTCATATCAGTTAAGTAATAGATAATAAATAGACTGGATATCATTTATGGAAAACTTGTGCATTATTGCACAAAATACGATAAAATATGTAAGATTTATACTAAATATATGTAAAATAATATTATATGTGTATAAAATATTATATGTGTATGAATTTTCGTAAGAATCCGCAGTCTGACAGTAAAAGAGACAAAGAATAATATTCGAAAGCCAACCTTTCGCATTCCTGTCGTAATTCGCAGTGACTCGAGATTCTCTACTTTCTCGTCAACACGCTGAATTTCAATTCGATAAGGAACGAGCACAACGGAATTGACAAACGCGTGTAACAACCACGAAAGGTCAATTTCCTGGAGGAGCACGCGACAATTGGAACGCGTCAATGGCATTGCACTTGTCGGTAATAATTCTTTGATAAAAGGGAACGATGTAAGACGTAAACAACGACGAGGGAAAAGAGGCTGAGACGATCGCGGCGACCACTTTCCGAAGTTTCGCTTTCTCAGCAGAACATTCTTTCCCCCTCCGATAAGATAACACTTCCGCGCGAAGAATTTTAAATAGATCGTCGAACGGGCATCGACGTTCTCCACGTCTCGTCGAGCTCCGTATTGCTCCGTGAGATTAAAACCTACCGGTTAACTGTCAAATGCCAAGTCAATCGTTTGAAAAGGAGAGAGAAGGATAAATAAACCGTCAAATGAACTAACCTTCCGACAGATTTGCACAATCATCACGCTGTTTTATCTACGTGTTTATACGATTAATAACGCGATAATGACACGCTCGGTATCGCCACAGACGAATTCTTCTACTTCTGATAATTATCGCTCGTAGTGCGTAATCTCCCGAAAAAAAACTCGTTTGCGATTTAAACGAATTCTATTTAAAACCGTAACGCGATTAAAAAGTTAAATCCAAGATAATAGGATTTCACTTCGTTACCATTTCGAAAAATTCCTGAACTCGCGTTTCACGTTTTAGCGTTGACAGTTTGGTTATTTACATTCGTATTTAACAAAAAGGAGAAATAATAATAACACGAAAAAAATACAAGGACAGTGTCGAACGAAGCGACGAAAAAAAAAAAAGGAAACAAGATCGATGCTTTACGAAATAGATATTTGGCCAAAAACTAGAGGAAGATCTGTTTGCAAACAGCCTCTGGTCGGAGCTCACGAGAGGAAAGTCATCGGCGTGGAATTTGTAACAGTCGCCAAATATTCGAGACAGCTGCCAAGAATCGCGTCGAAGCCAATTCAATTTACGTACACACCTCGATAGCCGAGTCCCGATTCCCGAGTAATTATTACTCGAGACAACGATTGCGCCCCGTTAACAACTTCGAACGTTCGCTGCTTTCGAATCGATCGAGCATCGATGCAACGCAACCAAGACGTCTCGATTCCAACTTCAGACGCGTCAATGTTTTTTAAAGATTCGTACAGAACACCGACGCGGCGAGACACGAACGGCGTCCGCGATTTTGTCGATGACGCAATTACCCGAAGGTCCTTTCGATTCGCGATTACGCTCGCTGAGAGTCCCGCACCACCGTCTCAAGTCTTTGAAAACTCTATCTCAGACGTAAAAACGAATCGCGATGTAGTACATAAATACGAAATCAAGAATGACAGGAGGCAAGACAGAGGAGGGGGAAGAAGAGAGTAACGAAATGGCCGTTGATTGAAGAATAGATAGCACTCGCGACTCGTTGACAAGAGGCCGAGACTCCGTATCGATCGTAATCACGAAAGTAACGTTTAGGGACAGTATTTTAGTACGTACATAAATAGTGAGCCGCAACGTTGCGCTCCGACGGCAGGTCGCAGTGGTAGTGTATGGTATATCCAATAATCCACAAAGAATAGCGTAGTACTGCACTGACAAAACTTTCACTTCTTTTATTTTTTTTTTATTTTTTTTTTTTTTTCTTTGCTCGCCGAATATAATCGGCTTTTTCTGCGAAATCACTGATTTAAATCACACATACATAAAACAGTCGCACCACTCGGTGGTTTGAACAAACACACCTTTCACGAAACACCACAAAACAATACGAAATCGAATCAATGAAGAGTACTCGATGCAGAAGTTGCTCGGTTGAATAGCACCGGTTTCCAATGTCTGTGCGTACATATGTAGCCCCGGTTTACGTATCCGTGCGCGAAGAGAACTCCTTACTCTCTGCAAAAGCACTGAACGTTTAGTTTCGATCACGCTGGCACGATAGTTGAATAGGAACTGACGTTTTCGCGGAACGGGCGCGCGCGCTTCGCTCCGTGAGCCTGGACAAAACGAAACTAACGGAATCTCGTATCGAATCGAGTGCGATATCGACTTGTATCGAATGGAGCGAGGATGACGCATACACACGACCGGACGAAGCTACTGCGACGAAAGCGCGAGAATCGAAATGGATTTACCGCGGCGATCGCGATCGGAGTATCTCGGACGAAAGACGGGAAAGCAATGCGGCACGAAATCCACACAGAGCCACTGGTAACGAGACGAAAATGACCGATCGGCCGATCCGATGGAACACGAGCACACACGAGAACGCAGCTTATACTATCGATGATCGAAGATTCTCGCTTGCAACTAACAAACGAGAAGGACAGAAACCGAAGACGGATTACATATAGAGCGCACGCGCGCGTTCTAACGCGCTTTCGTTACGTAAAAGAAGTGCGCGTTGGTTAAACGTCACCACATCGTGGATGGTACACACTCCGCGAGTTCGCGTAAAACGTGTAGAGAAAGAGACGGAGAGCGAAAACTAGCCGGAGAATCAAGTGTATTTTACCGCGGTGACGCGAAAGGCACCGTGTGTTAACCTACTTCTCTTTCCGTTGACTGAAACTCTTCGCACCAACAACGATGACGACGACAACGACGACGACGACGACGCGGAGGACGACGACGACGACGACGACGATGGGAACCCACACGGGTGGCAGGGTACACGCGGCGACTCGTTGTCTCTTCTCTCCTCCGCACGCGCGGTCCCTCGTTTCTTCGACTTCGCTGTTTGTGTCACCGCGACACCGCGAAACCAGAAAACAAACAACTGCCGCCGAGGACGCGTCTTGTTTGCAGAAAAGCTCAACTCTTTTTCACTGGGCGGAACTCGTTGTCGTTCCGGGGGGAAAGGGGGACACAGAGGAAGAACGAGGGACACACATATACAGTGGCGCGCGCGCGCGCGTGCCCACGGGAGGGAATGAGAGAAAAAGAGAAGGAGAAAGAGAGAAAGAGAGAGAGACAGCGCGGCAGAACGACACAATCCGACTACGACGGAGGTCCGACTCGAACTGAGCGCCGAGCGGCTGATCGAGGCCGACGTCGGCCGACTCGGCCGAACCGAGGCGCTCGCCGATAGCGCGCTCCGCTCCGCTCCGCTTCGCTCCTTCCTTTCCCTTCCCTCCAACACGAACAATCCCTCCCTCCCCGACCATCACCCCCTTGCCGCGGCTTCGCAGCCGCCACCCTCTTGCCTCTTGCTCTTCCCTCTCTCGAACTCGCGGCCCACCTTGCTCCTCCTCTTCGCGCTCTCCTCTCCTCTCCTCTCCGCTCTCCTTTCCTCTCTTCTCTCCTCTCTCCTCTCCTCTCCTCTCCTCTCCTCTCCTCTCTATAGTCGTCGAGCTTCGTCTCGCGTTCCCGCTCTTTCTCCTAC